AAAGATATATTTACAATACTCTGCTCTCATGATTTTAAATTTTTCTCAACCCCTTAATCACCCTAGATCCACCGTGGTTGTTTGGATCTTTGTTTCTATGGGTTGGTTTAATTTTGAATCCTTCTATTTAAAAATACACCCAGTGCCACCAGGAGGTGTCCGTGTGCCATTTTTTGGTTACTTTCCGGGGTGCTTGCCTCTTTTATTTTTGTGGGGAGAGCTCCATAATAATGCTATAATAGTAGCAGTTTCTACAGAATCATTATTATTAACATTATTACACACTGCTGTTGTTTGCACTTCCAAACAAATGAGGATGTTGTGTTTGTGTCCAGATAGTTCTTCATTCTTTCCACAGATGAGAGAATTATAGATGAAAAAGACCTGTTGAGTCATCCATCTTCTTCCCTTCTGGCATGCCCTGTTCTCTGAAATATACTGTATAATGTATTGAGTGAGGATATCAGTCTGTTGCTAGGGAAATGATGACTATAATCAGATGTTACACAGTCTACATTTTGACTGCATTGCAGGATCAAAAATGAGGCTGTGAAAACAAAGATTTTTACTGAAACACTTAAATTGTGCCCTATTTGTGCTTGTGTATAATTTACAGGAAGACTGGAGTGTATACTTCAAAAAGCTAAATATCTCACATTATTTTTATATTGCATATTCCCATTTGGTCTGTGATGTTTAATTGGAAAGTATCTAGTGTAGTTTCAGTGCAAATACAGGCATAAAATATATACAGATCCATAGGAAATTACAAATAACTACAAGAAATTCTATTACACTTCAGCCTAAAGTAGAGCCATTTTTACTACCACATGGATATTCAGAACTATACATCAGAGTGAATAGTAAATCTATTTTCATCTGAACATCAGAGTGGGAGAAAAAATTAATTGATCAAATATGCCTGGTGATAGAAGGTATGGTTCAGTTGTACTCCACAAGGTGTCTTGAAAATCCTGGTCCAACCAAGCTAAAATACAGTGTGTTGCAGCAGTCACAAGCATTAGCTGTAGATGCTGTGTCTGAGGGAGGGCCATGTGCAGGAATGACACTTTTTTCATGGCTGTACAGTCAGATTGAGTTCTTCTACTTTTTATTGCATCTTCTAACCAATTTATTTTGACACAGTGCACACAAGCCTTGTTGAGAAGAAATAGCATGAAAACAATTTCCAAATACAATGCATGTTGTATGGGTTATGGCAAAACTTCTTAAAATGTTAAAAGCTTTTAGTTTGCCAGATCTAATTTAGTAGCCACATTTCTGTGAGAATATGGTTCTCATGCTACCTGCGTAACACCCAGTTTCAAGCCCCCCTCCCTCCCCAAATTTATGCATAATTTGGTGTTTTACATTCATCTGTAACTATAATATTCCACCAAAAACCTAGCATAGCCTCTTTCAGGACCAATTATTAGATTCCCACAAGTGATGGTAGTCCCAAGACATTTTAAAGTAGATCCTGACCCCAAGAACTCATCTACGTTCTGTTCCATTGATAGAGAGAACTATTAAGGCAGCAGATACATATCATTACAGTACCTGTGTTCGTGCATCAACAGCCAGCTGCTCTCTGAACTGGAAAGAACCTGGGTAACAGAGGACATTTTACAGGCAAGTGAGTTGGCTGAACTAGTGGGAAACACAGTGAAATTTCACTGAGACTTAATGATAAGCTTCCCACATCAAAGACATGGCTAATACACATTGGCTAGACACTTGCCATTTGAGGACCCTAATAATAAGTGAATTCTACTAAGAGAAATACATGGTTTTGCTGGTGTGCACATTCTGTACTGGATTTCTTTTCACAATCCTGTGTTGTTCTTTTTTTATTGAAAAGAAGAATCTGCAAATAACAATATATGAGTAATGAAATTCACCTGTTAGCATCCTGTGTGGTTAAAAATATGTTTTCCTTGCTGCCTTGGATGCCTGTTTCTGGTTTCATACTTAAAAACTGTTTTGTGTATCTGTTTGCAATTCCCATGTTTGATGAACACAATGAGACATAATTGACATACTAATGCAACAAACCAGATGTAGAATAGAACAACTTACATGCAGAGCTGCTCAAGATTTAATCTCTCCACAAGGATCTCTCATACCTCTTGTAGGTGATATGTCACTATTTCCTATAAATTGCTGCCAAGTTACATTTTTAAAAATTTCATCTCTTATCATTTTGTATGCAAAAACCTGATTAATTTTTCAGGTTCAAGAGTTTTGGGGTGTTGTGTTTTTTTTTTTGGGTTTTTTTTTTTGGTTTTTTTTTGGTTTTTTTTTGGGGGGGGGTTTCACAAGACTAGATCTAAGCATTAACTGATTAACCCCTGACAAACTAGGTTTATTATTTAGCAAATACAAAACACTTATCTGTCTTTGCTGTTGAAAGAAGGTGGTGTGGATTTGTTATGAATATTTTTGTGTCAGAAATTTTGGGAGCACTCAAGATCATCTGCCTCAGTCAAACTTTTTGCTATCACACTACACTCATGGATCAGCACCAGAGAATTTCCTAACAGCAAATAGGATTGAAAGTGTATACTGATGGCTAATTTGCTAAAAACTTACCTTAAGAACTCAAGCAAGTCATTATTAGCACTGGTCTGTTTAGAAACATTTTGTTTCAGGGTACTGAAGCATGTGTTGCCTGAAAATACCAAGAGATCATTTATACACACACATCATGTGTGTATATGACAAGCCTGTCCTGTCCTCCATTCTAAAACATCGGCAGCTCCTAAGCCATAATGTAAAAATCAATGCAAAAGGACAGAACATGAAGTCCTGCTGCTTTCAGAAGATGAGGATGCTATTTGTAAGCATGAGTGCACTATAGTTTTGTTTAGCTTTACTCTCTGCTTTAAAACCTGTTCATATTTTGTTAACATGCTGTTAGATAGTGAGCTAACACTCATCCACATTGATAATTACTCTACTCCCTTGGAGGAAAAAAGTTCAGCCTGAAGAGGTAGAGAACAGTGAGAATGTTCCTGCCACTACCCTTATTTCTACAATTTTCTTATTGGTTAAGTGTTTCTGCTTTTTAAGAGCATTCTGTATTTTATGTTGGAGAACAAATCTTTGATTTCATTAAAACTTGGTGATACTAGGATTGGTCTCAAGGGTATGTGGCACAGATTTATGGATGTTTCTGTTCTAGAGTACTGTTGAGAACTTGAAGTTGGTTTGGAAATCAAAATATCACCTGAAGTTGAACAATTTGTCTTTTTCCCTAGTATCAACACATCCTAACTGTTCATGATATGATGGAGGAAGCTATTTTATGCACTGGGTCCACCTGCCTTATTATTAAGAAGAGATAGCCTCCTTATATTGCTGGCCTATCTTCTTGGATTCACACTTTCCTGGCTCTATTGCTTCTCTTGTGGAAAGAACTTTGAAACAAATCCCACTCTGTGCATTGACCAAAAAGATTAAGTGAAACAATCTTTCCACTACAAGACTTTAGTCAGCAATATACAGTAATACAGCACTCCATCTATTTCTAAAGTATTATTTTACATCAGGGAACCACAGGAAAATAAACCAACCAGAAAGAGATGCAGAGCAAAACATAGTAACAAGTCAGCAAAAATACAGCATTCAGCATAGGAACACTGCTGAGGTAAGGCAAAGTCTGTCAAAGCTGAGGTTACTACACTCAGTCTCAGTCTCAACAGCAGCTCTCAGTCTTTCCTCTAAACAAAATTCATGGATGCTTCTGAAACATAAAATTAAAACATTAAGAACACCTGAAATTCTCCAATTTAGCTGAGAAAGGCATTCATACTGTAGAAATTCCATCTTAACCCCTTTGTTAGTTGCTCCTCCTAGGCACCAGATAATTAATTATCCGTTTGCACTCCTATGAGGATAAACCTTTTCCCATTTCAAAATTTTGGAAAAAAATGCAAGAGAAATTACACAGATGCAGACCAACTGTACTGACATTTTTTTCACATTCAGTAATTGTGTTATCAAAGGTCGTGGTGAACTTTTGGCTCTAAAATGATGGCTTGATGAAGTAACAAATGTGTGTGCTTGCTGCTGCCTTACAACACATGCTTTGTGAAGCACATGGCCAACATTAATGGAAATAAGCTGAAGAAAGAAATGCCAGTATCTCTGTCCAATTATAGTGCTAAAGTTCTGTTTGTTTCAAGTGGACAGGGAACCTGAACCCTGCAAGTGCAATGAATATAGTCATAGACTTCATTATGGAAACAAGAATGTGAATATAGAGACTTTTTAAGAGATGTTACTTCAGACTGACCAAAGCACTGAAAACTAGAGACTGTAAAAAAAACCCCAAAAATGAAACAACAAACCACCACCATCCCACCAAAGCCAAACCTTTCAAAGAAAAGAAGTATTCTATGATGCTGATATTCCAGACCTAACTTTGTTGTGTCTATATAGCTTTTTGGGAAGATCTTCCTAAGATAAGCACGGATTAAACAGACATTTAACTATCATGAACACAATAAAATAGAAAGAATATACTGGAAGAGAAGCCAGAGTGTCAGGTGAACTGAAAAAGATAACTAACAAAAGCAAAAATAACCCAGTCAAAGTCTGGTTCTGCCATCAGTGTCCCTGTTATATGATGCAATTACACAGAAGTGAAGGTGTGAATATATTTAAAGTACCTCTTCTGTAATTGCTTTGGTAACAATAATACTCAAGATACAGTGCTGTAACTTGGCACAGATTAACCACATGTTTACATTAAGCGAGGCCTGCTTGTAGATGCTACAGAAATATCCAAAATTAAGACAGCAAGCACAGTTCAAGTGATAAATCAAGCACTCATACACTTTTGGGGGAAGAGGAACATAAATAGCCTTTTACTCCACTAAAATTAACAACGCTATTTTCCATCACAAAAAGATGGGTTTCAAAAACCAGCAAAAGACACCATAATTTGTTTAAAAACAAGAAAAAAAAGAGGAGAAACAGAAGAAACAGATACAAAATAGAGAGGAAAGGCTGAAATTAATTTTATTTAACAACACAAAAGAATTAAGAAGGAAAGTATACTGAAATAAAGAAGAGCAGTGAAGGAAAATAAGGAAAACCATCACCTTAATATATTGTAAATACTTATTTCACTACTGCCTTTTTCTGCAACATTTTACTGATGATGTTTCATGCATCATCAATAAAGTAACACTATAAAAAATCCTCTAGAATCCTATTTCCTTCTGGCATTTGTGCTAGATTGACAGTAACTAGTCCATGACAAAGGGCAACCAGTTCAGCTTGAAGACTTGATGCAAGCACAAAAGGGGGAGAAAAAATTTAAAAAAAGGTTAATAATAATGTGTTAAGTTTGAAAGGAACACCAAGTGAAACAAATGAATTAGAATTGTTTAAGGATAACAGTATTTCCAAAGCAAATGGACTACTTCTCTTACCAAGAAGACAGGGCATTTGACAGCTAATAAGACAGCAAGGCATTCAGCTTCCAAACACTAGAGGTGAGAGTTAATATTACACACATGAGCCACAAGCATACGGCTGGCTTGTTTTTATTAACACTAATAAATGATCTCATAATACTGATCAGAGTGGGTTTTTTCCTCCACATATCTCACAAAAAATTTTCAGGTGACAAGTACTATGATACATGGTAGAAACAAACAGCTGTGGCCACAAAGATGTTTTGTTAACTGATGATTAATATATTCAGGAAGCAATCACACTATTCATTAGTAAAAGTTTACAAACATTAAAAAGTGCATAACATTTGAAACCAACAACACAAAAATATATATAATATATATATATACTATATATAAAGTGACATCACCTCCTATTAATAAAAGAAAACAAATCTTCTGACCTTGTGATTGGTGCTTGTGTGATTGCCATGGTTTACTATCAGTCACTCTCTTCACTCACCTTAGTCACACAGAGGTGTGGCTGCCCCATTTTGCAGCATTCAGCCTCATGAATGGCCTTGTCTATTGGGGCAGGACGAGGGGGGAAAACAAATCAATCAGCAATAGCTACTGCAGAACAGGTTATTAATTTGTAGGTATTTTAAGTGATGTCCTGGATGGACAAGCTATCCTGGTATTTTGATGAAGGCCCAGTTTGGACTGTCATTTTGGAATAGATGAAATGGGAAAAAATCTAGTCTTTGGGTGCTAGATGCCAAGTCTCCCACCTCCCTTTCCAACTCCAAGCCACCAGGCTACTGTAGCAGATTCTAGCACTTGGCTGTTTGGGTGCATCAGTAGCAGGCTACTGGCTGTGCAAACTCAACAGCCTGATCAACTGAGGCAAAGGCAAGGAATAGTAAAAATCCAACCCTTTGCTGGATCCAGCCCAGAAGCCACTCATTGGACTATACTGCATTCTAAAACTCATTTCAGAATGCATAATTGGCAATAACCTATGCCAGTTATTTTCCCATGTGTAAACAAGGCCTATCTTTTACATTGTGAATCAGGAAAACCTCTAGCACCATGGAATTAGTTTGAATTTTAACCTATATAAGGTTATAAATGTATTCTTAAAACTACCATAACAATAAAATACTTGGAATAACATTTTAAAAAAATATCTCAGAGAAAGATTAAGAAACTGGGACCAAAATTAGAAAAATGGGGAAGAATAACATAAAAGATTCAATTTGAGTCTCTGATATGCAACTAACTACAGGCAAGTGGCAAAACTGTACCAAGGACACAACACACGCTCAAGTATTCACATTAACAAATCGTTTTGAAGGCTCATCTAGTAACAAATTAGAGTGTTGCTGAGTCATTTAGGTTTAGGCATATTCAATTGAGCGGTTGACGTTTTAGATCTATCATGTGCACATCACCACCTTATGCACAAAACCAGCCCTTTCAAAACGTGTGGTAGAAAAATTCACAGTAACAGAAATATTCTTCATAAGCAGTTGAGAAGGGGCAGTGTGGAGCATCTAAGTTGTACAATACAAAAACCATTGTAAATAACAGAGCTGTAAAACAGATGCAAAGTTCTAAAAACAGTGCTTTCTTTACAGTTCTTATAATGGGCAAACACTTTGGCCAGAGAATTTTAAACTCTGAGGATCACACAAGCCTTCGCTTAAGATACACAATTAGATCCTCTGATGCTTCAAAGGCCATTTGCTACAAGATTTACCTGTTCTACTTTCTAAAAGTGTTCCCATCGAGTAGTCATTATGAAGGGATCCATCTGATGACACTATCCCAAAAAAATCAATACATGTTCAACCATTGCTAATGACAGAGGTAGAGAAAATTCTGTCTTCTGTCACAGCTTGTACCCAGATTTTTAGCATTGTGTTGAGTGGGTTCCAGCAGTGAAGACACATGCACTTTCTTTTCTACCAGCTTGCTCATGGAAACAAATTTGTTCCAGCACACTCTTGTAGCCTGAAAACATCCAGCAGCTGCTGCACTCGGTCAAAGTCGGATGTCAGCTTTCTTGCTTTGCTGCCTCCCCTTGGGCCTCCCCGGTTTGCTCACTTGGATTTCGTTGTGCATCTCCTTCTCCTTCTATAAGACAGGAAAAAAAAAGGATGAGTAATCCACCCTAAAAGAAAGAGAACCCCGATTATTCATCCATCAGTTTCAAAAACAAAGTAAAAAGAAATTGAAACTGAAATATGAAACTCTTTACTGCTAAGATAGCTATACTTTATTTTAGAAAGTGTCTCTTGAGATCCAAATTCCTAGCTGCAATCACAAGTATCACTTTAAATAAATACCAAAGGTAGCTAAAAATTAATGAATTTAACAAAAACAGTAGAGTATTTTTGAAAATTTCTTCACTGTGATGCTATAACAGTATAAGAGAAAAAAACCCAACTCATTGCACCAATCTGAATAGAGTTTGCTACAAAGAGATGCAACTTCAATAAAAACAATAGTTTGCTAAAGCTGCTTTAGTTCTGCGCATCTGTTTTGAGCATCATGTCCACAGTGTTCAGTCCAGCTGTCCCACTGCAAACCACAGAAGGATCTGAGGAACGGATCACATCCTACAGAGACACAGTGAGCAGGCAACTCACAGTCTGTCTAAAGAAGGCCAAGAAAAGCATTGTAAAAAGCTTTTTACTATCTATATGCAAAGTATTGCATTTTACAGAACAATTAAAGACCTCACACGTTCAGGCAACAGGAAGGTGACTGCAAGTGAGACACAAGTCCCTGAACACTGGACTGATCAGCTATAGATACACAACAACAAATAATGTTAAGAGTAATGGCTTGATTCTGAAATGGCTTGATAAGGGAAGAAAATTCCATGGCTAGACTATAAGAAGGTTTAGATAGATGTAGCAGTGCCTTTTAATCTATAGATCTTTAGAATGAAGGCAGGGTTCTCAATGCAGATATTTATTGTTTCCACATTTCAGATCACATGGTGCATCTGCAGATTTATTTCTGTTTATAGAAATAAGCATCACAAACGCCTTCTCTTTTCTGTGTAGAAGAAAGGGCAGGGGAAAAAAGTTCTTTGCCTTGCAAAGAACATTGCAAACAGCTTAGACATGACAGCTGTGTTTTGTGCATGCACTGAGTAGGCAGGAAAATGCCTCACAGGATACTGTGAATTATCACATTCAACCTGATGAAAAGTTGCATGGAAAGTCAGTTACCTATTAAACAGTGAGATTTGTTCTGTTCTTTATGGGTTGAGTAGTAAATACACAACTTTTTTGCAAGGCACTTTCCCAGAAAACTCTTCTTTACTTTCACCTCTCAAATTAGAAAGGATTCCATCAGGATGGATCTACATGTGATTATTTGCTATTGGACAGAAATCCCTTTTGCCCCAGTTGTCTAAACGCTTTCTAAAAACCTCCTACATTTGTTCTGATACTGCAGAAGATGTGATGAGTGTAATTTCAGGGGGTCATTTCTTTTTTGCCTGCTTTGCCCTCCATTTATTCTGACTACTACTGTGTGGGCAAGCCAAACTTTCCTGGTGAAAATCTTATTAACAAAAAGAATAGGGAAAAAAGTCCCAAAACTGAAGAGCAAAATACACTCTTGCAAGCTATTTGTGTTTAAAAAAAAAAATCACTCTTGGACAGAAAGCCTAAACATTTCACTATCTTAGTGTTAAACACAGAGCACCCAGGGAAAGTGCACTAAGCTTCTAATATATCTCTTCTTGAAAGATTCTTCTCAATTTGCTGAAGAAACTCGTTAATCTAAACCCATTTAATCTATAATAGACTATCTTGGTACTAGCTTTTTCTTTCTACTGGCAGAGCTCTCTTACCAAAGGCTTTAAAACATATTTACAGACATAATTTTACTTTTAAGTTCCGAGAATCCCAAAGCTACTAAGCACATGGCTGTTCTTTCTTTAAAACCTGATGGCTAGAAGCTCTTGAGAGCAAGACTGTAATTTTTACACAGCATTTTGAAACCATCAGGCAGTATTAAAAAAAGAAACAAAACTAAATAATACAGTACTCTAAGGCACAATACAGTTGTGTGAGTAGGTCAGCTGGCTAGAGTTACCAGTCCTGCTAATGTACAGCTTTTAATCACTATTCCCCCTGCTTACACCCAAAACACTTCTACATAGCCTAAAAGCAATTACTTTCACTCACTAATTTCTACAGTCAGTTCTTCATTCCGGTTATGTTGGTCTTTAACAACCTATTACCCACATTATTTGTAGATGCTTGGACCTCTACAACTTTTACAAGGAAATGTCCTTTTCTGTGTTCTATAGCACCCAGAAAAGCAGCAGTTTGTTTTAGAGATCAGATCTGCAGAGACTTGTCCTCATTCTTCATTGTACTTTTACCTCACTACTTAATTTAGCTACAAACTGCAAGATCAAATTTTTTGGATTGCATTGGTTACCTTGAGAGTGTTGAGAAGAGAGCTACCTACTGATTTCCCTGCTAAAAATCTTTCTTTTGCTTCTATCCTATGATTGCTCTTCCAGTTTATCTATCAGACGTACAAAGTGTTGTTTTTACTTAATTTAGATAAAACGTGTTGACACAGTCCTTGGAACCTGTATTTTGGTATTTGGTAAATATATCCATTCCATAGATAATAACAGGTTGTTAGCTTGCTATGGACAAAGAAAACTGGGACAGTTGTTTTGAAGAGAGAGTATCACACAGTAATTATACTTATTATACATAATTATGCAGCAAACTCTTGATTATCTGTCGTTGGCTCATTGATGAGGGGATTAACCAACACTCACTCCAGGTATCAGCTACTGAGTAACAGAAGAATACATTGTCTTTGAACAAGTCTAGTGCTGTTAAAAGCTGTTCTGTTTTTTTACAGGAAACGTATCTGCAGGCTTTTCAAAGTGAATGTACTAAATATGCTTGGGTAGTTTAATTTACATATGTTTTATAACCACCTTGTTTTTCCTTTAACATCTGCATTATCCTACTCTGCCATTACTCCATGCAGTTGAAAGCAAACACGTTTGCAGTTTTGCAAGAAAATGCATGCAGCTCTAATAGGAATAAAAAGAAAGAATCAAAACTTGATGTCTATATTTATATAATTAAGTTGTACTTAGCATAAATTGTTTGACATGCACCTTAAAAGAAATAAGATATAGCCTCCAAATGTGTTTTCTTCTTAATCTTGTCAGATGTGATGCATATATGCATCCTACAAGCATTAATATATTCTGAACTGGAATTTTATATAATTTTGCAAAGTATTTTTTAGCCTCTCTTGATTTGGAATGACATCACGTGATAATACACTAATACTCACATGAATGCTAGGTAAGACAATGCCTTTTCTAATAACTTTTGTTTAGAGGCTTTTACTTGGCCCCTAGTTGTACTAATAATACAGAATTTAAATGTATTTTCATTTTATCTAATGGAAACTGAATAACCTTCTGAAGTATGCAGATACTTCTGTGTTTCTACTATCTAAGATAATTTTATGAACAGCTCTGCATGTTTTTCTGCATTGATTAAGTTACCTGGGCTTCAAAAGAGATCATCAAGAAGAACTAAAGAGACTCCTGGAAACACATTTCTGGCTTATAAGAACTCCAGTGTTCAACTTAAAAATAGGGATTGTTTTTATCTTCTAAATGGACAGGATCAAAAATTATTTTCATAAGTGTAAATCTGAGACTGAAGAAATTAAAGCACAAAGGCATTATGCCTTTCAAATGGCACCTACTTTTTGTTTTTCCAACATTTTACACCTGTCCCCACTAAAATAAAATCACACACCTACACACATACTTATAAAGCATTTTTTAAACAGAAATAAACTAAAGGCCCTGCCCAGCTAGAATTACATGCATATAGAATCTCTAGGTCCCAAACTGGCAAAAGGAGTGACTTAGGATGTACATTAGTCCAGAAGCCAAGAAAAGAAGCCCTCCTTCAAAACAGCACTGCAACCACCTCAACATCAAGCTGCCCACATGTGACTGTCCTGTGAAGAGACTGCCTCAGAACTCTTGTCCTTATCTCTGAGAAAAGTATGTGCACAAACAGGGCAGCTGCTTATCAACAGTTTCTTTGCTGCATTTATTTTCTTCTGGTATTATTAAAATAAGCAAACCATGCCTTCCCTAACATCTGGAAAGGTCTTTCTAATATCTGTAAGATCTATTCATTAGCCGCTACTCACCTAACATAAAAATAAATACCTGAACATATTACTATTTTTATTTCATGTAAGGTCCACTCCCCTCCCTTCTCTCAACTGAATATAAAGAAGCATATAAAAATGTTGGCAATATTAAAGATTTAGGATTGAATTACTGTTCATCATCTTAAAAGAAGGACAAGTATCAGCAGAAAAGAGAAAGAGACAATTTACTCAGAAACAAAGATCCAGGTAAAACAAACATTAATGCATTCCTATTGCCCTGTCCTTTGGCAGCTGAAAAAAGTTAATTTCACAACAACCCTTCAGCAAACACATGGCTTCTCCTACAGGCTTCAAATCAGAGAGATCCGCTAAAGGATATTATGCAGACATAGGTTTTAATAATGACTTCCTTATTTTCTTCCTTATACTCTAATTTTCATAAAATTTATCCTGTTTTAGACCCTTCCACTAGGCACTCACTGCAGAACAACTTTTCTTTATTCAGGGATGTGTTGTACTTGCAAATAACTACCCTTTCCATTTATGAAATCCGTGATTCTTATTGCAAGCAACTCATGTTGATTAGAGAAAAAAATATTTCTTGTGCTGAGGAACAAGGGAATAATGTGGGCACATAACCATGTTTTGTGTACTAGTTTTCATTTTAGTTTTAAATAAATATAATAAAATCCCAAAACATACTCACCTGTTTTGTTTATATCAAGCTCTGATAACTTTAAGGCTAGTTCACTGGAGTTCCCTCCCGGAGAGGACACAAGGATGTCATGTAATGCATTTCTTCTACCTGTTCTTCCTGAAGCAATAAAGTCTGCATATGTAGATTCCACATCAGTCATTGCTAACAAATATCCACATAGCAGTACCTGGATGGGAGGAGAAAAACAAAAACCACCACTTAGACCACCAGAAAACCAGATGACTTCATGGATTAGGAAGAGAACTAGAAGTTCCCATTCCAGGGTAGATCGACACATCTTCTTGTACTGGTTAGCCAGTTTCAAAATTTGGAGAAAATAGAGAAGAAACAGAGTAGAAAGCAAAAACACCATGTGTGTTTTATGCCATCTGTATTCAACAGTATTTTAACCAACTTAATTTTCCATGCTTCATAAAGTGATAGTGAGTACTTTATAAAAGCAATGACCTCAGCAACATAATTTCTTTACAGAGTTGTCTCTGCTTTTAATATTAGCTGAGATGTAGGAGGTAGGCAGGGGGTGGAACAAAGTTCTTTTCTACAAAAAGCAGAGTGTAACGAGTAAGAAAGTACAAATCGATAATGCTTTTGTGTGCAGAACCCTGTGCTCATACACAAGACACAGTTATGTTGTATATTTTCTTTCCTGTTAATATTAGTTTTGGCATTGTATACAGACCTCTTCAGGCTCAACTAATTTATTTTGGTGTGGTAGTTTCCCTAATTTAAATGCATTGCTATAATGCTCCTGAAATGAGTGGAGACATGCTACCAGAGCAAGCAGAATAGCTAAACGAGAATGCAGAGGTTTGAAAGCAGTGCTCTGTAAGCTAGATATAAACTCAGAACTTCTTTTCATTAGAAAACATTTCTTGTGTCATTATGGAATAATGTGATGATGTGCATTAATGCAAGATCTGACAAAGACAACAGGAAATACAATATGCTATTTCAATCTCAGTAACAGAAAGAACTGCCTCTCTGCTGCAATATATGCTACAGACCTACGCTAGTAGAATTTTATTTTCTTAATTTATAAAATGTTAAAGAGTATGGGGAGGAGCACTTTCTCTCACTGATCACATTGCTTTTACTGTAGTTTCATGGGTACATGTCTAAGGTTTCCTGAAAAATGCTAGGCAACCGCACTTTCCTCATGTTTTATGTTTCCATGTCATATGGGAATCAGGGAAGCTTTCTGCTAGAGGAGTACTTTAAAGAAAAGAAACTACAGAACTACCAACCCAAAGCAGCTCCCCCACACTTGTATGCCCCCTTAATTTTAAGTAGAATTTCTCTGCTTTTGCACACTGAAGACAGAGGACATGGCCATGCAGGCAGCAACTCACAGCTTCCTACAGTAAGTGGCTTTAGCTGCTATTACTAAAGTAGCCAAAACTTCACATTTGCATAGAATAGATGAATATTTTTAATCAGCTCCTACTGCAGGTGCTGGACACTGAAGCAGCTCTTGAAGTCATCACAAACATTAACAGCAGCAAAAGTTCAGCTTTCTCTCTTCAAATAAACAAAAAACCCCTCATTTTTTATATACACTTTTTATTTTAAAAATAGATACAAAAAAAAGGCAACAGTCAATCCTTCTCCACCCTCACCTCTGAATAACTTTACAAACGCTGTTCACTCCTCATCTTCATTCCATTCCTCACCTCCCCAAATTCAGTCAGCTGTATGAGGGTGTATATATGATGTGTGTGAGAAGCCAAGGAAAGGGTTCTACACCATATTTTCTTTAGTCTAAATATATCTGCATCAAGTATCATTGCAAGACTGACTGACTTTAAAAGAAGTTCACTGCTAGCAAGCTTTGGTGTCCCATGCCAAACACTGAATGGCTGACAGGCTAATTTTACTCTTAAGATCAACCACTATGATACAGGAAACTGCTTTAAAAAAACCAAACCAACAAAGAAACAAAAACTCCAACAAACCAACAACCAAAAAACATATCAACCCACAAAACCTAACAACACTACCTAGGGAGGGAATAAAGGTCAGCATTGACTGAAAGACTGTCTGACACACATAAAATAGCGCAGTGCCTCTGTTAATAACAAAAGCTCTCATCAGAATGAGACCACATGCATTTCTTCCTCTGAAGTGCCCTCCTTTTGAAACACTGCAAGAATATTGAAGCAAATGAGGAGTCTACCATTTGTTCTTTGCCTAAGGTGCAGACACTGGCCAAGTATATCAACCATGTAGTAATGCAGCATGTAACTTGCAAAGGTGAAGGGAAACAATGAGGGCATTTTTTATAAGAAAACAGCACAAGTTTTCAGACTTATCTGACCCATTCACTGAATAGCATTCACCAAAATCAGAGACTAAAAGATTTTAAGCCAAAATCCCTTATATTTGTGCACGCTTTTTATTGCAACTGACTTGTAGAAAAGGAAGTGCAAACCATGAAAGCAATCAATAGTATTACAGGCTTGGATTTCATATTAGTGTAGGACCAGTCCAAACTCTCTGTAGCTATTACCCCTGTGAAGACATTAATTTATTTTTAGCATAGAAAAAACGACAACAGAGTTGTTTACTTTTCTTCTTTGAAAGGTGCATATGAGTGCAGCAGGCCCAGAATAACTAGAGAAGAATATGACTGAGGTGGAAGGAGCTGCAGGGCTGTAAGAGTTGCAAAATAATCCAGGTTGTATTCCATGATAAATTCCCTGGATGTACAAACTACACTCCACAGAATATGCTTCTGTAGGATTATACTGCTCTTGAAACATTCCATTAAAATGGAGAATACCAGAGGAAATGTCAAGTTTATTTAGTTTCAGCTACAAAACAAGCTATAAAGGCAGGGAAAAATGTGCTTCTAGAGAACTTTTTAAATGCTCGTTTTCTGTATGCTCAATATGGGATTACTAACAACATTCTGATCAAAAAATAACGTTATCAAACATATATTTATGACACTTCCAAATTTTCCTGTCTGTGTCTCCTACTAAATAACAAATACCATTCTGTTTTGTATTGGCATTGTCTTGAGACATTACTGCATAAATAAGGAACTCCACTGACGTCACCAAAGAGCTCCCCTTCCAACGAATGGCTCAGTGCCCAGCAGTTTGTACTAATTCACTGAACCAGTCATTAAGGAATTAACATTCACTTCAAAAAAAATCTTTTTTTCCCCCTTCAGTCTCTGTGGAAGGAGTGGAATTTGCTAATAACTCTGTGAAATACAAGTTGAATTTCCCAAATAATTGCATTAACAGGTACTCCTGCATGAAAGATTGTGGTCACAGTCCCGCTAATTCTACTAATTTAAATTTTTCAAAAAGTTGCAAAACCAGTACTCTGCTATGTGAAATTACACTGAATCAAGAGGACTGCAAACCTCACTGTTTCCACCAACTGAACCAGCAAACTGAAGAAAGAAGCTCTGAGAAAATAAGGATTAATGAAACCTGCTGTTGCAAGATTGGATTCCTTGGTAACTGATAAGATACCATCCCATCAGAAATACCCCCCAGCTGTGCTTTACCTTTCCTCCCACGTAGAGTCACTGTGCCTGGTAATGGGTCAGACTTTGCATCACAGCCCAGGGGATTTTCATACAGCATTTTTTATTTCCTCAGATTCTTAATTTCATAAACATCTAGAAATGTTAGATTTTTTTTCTCCTTCTCTTTGCAATTCCTTCCTCACAAAAAGTTGTGCTGAAAATTATTTACTTAAGAAATTACAGAGGATGAGAATGGTAGAGTTGTTACCCTGGATTTTAGCCAGTCTATCAAGACATGCCTGCATTGTTAATGAATATTCAGTATTGAACATAAGGGGTAGAATAAGTATCCAAGGAATGCAGAAGGAGAAAAGGATGCCAAGGATAGGTTCAACAAGGCCAAGTGCTGGGTCCTTAATTTGCATCAGAACAACTTCATGCAATGCTACAGGCTGGAGGAAAAGCGGCTGGACAGCTGCTCAGCGGAAAAGGACCAGGAGATGCTGGTCAATATCTGTTGAACATGGTCCAGAGAGTGCACAGGTGGCCAAGAAGGCCAATGGCATCCTGGCCTGTATCAGAAACATCATGGCCAGCAGGACCAGGGCAGTGATTGTCACTCTGTACTCAGCCCTGGTGAGGCTGCACCCAAACCTGGTGCTCAATTCTGGTTCCCCCATGGCAAGAACACTGAGCTGCTGGAGTGTCCAGAGAAGGGCAACGGAGCTGGGGCTGAGTCTGGAGCACAGGTCCTGTGAGGAGTGGCTGAGGGAGCTGGGGATGCTTAGCCTGGAGAAAAGGAGGCTCAGTTGGGATTTTATCACTCTAAACTGCCTGAAAGGAGGATGTAGCCAGGCAGGGGTCAGCCTCTTCTCCCAAGTAGTAAGTGACAGGATGAGAGGAAATGGTCTCAACTTGCACCAGGGGAAGTTTAGATTGGATATTAGGAATACTTCTTTCACTGAAAGGGTGGTCAGGCATTGGAACAGGCTGTCCAGGGAAGTGGTCAATCACCATCTCTGGAAAAGTTCAAAAGATGTGTAGACCTGTCACTTAGGGCCATGTTTTAGTGGTGAACACAGTGATGTTTGGTTAATGGTTGGATTCGATGATCTTAGAGGTCTTTTCCAACCTTAATGATTCTATGATGAGAACATTGTAATTTAACAAGTACAGAAAGAATCAGTATTTGTGTTTTCAGAAATTTACCAGAATACTCCTTTAACTCCTCAATCCAATTTATGTTATATTTTCCATTTCCATGCTATATATAGCAAATGTTATCCCACAATTCTCTGAAAATAATTGTCAAATCTCTGTAACTGAAAAAAAAATCCTAAAAAGTTACTGATGAGTTCACAAATGTAATCCAAATTTGACTGTGTTCTGTAATCATTCAGTGAAACCCAGTAATACACAGTACCACTGCTCTCAAGGGTTTGGGAGGAAAAGAACAGAAATTATGTGGTATATCATCATGAACTAAAAAGCAGTGTTTCTACTACTTATGGGCCAGAGGTACCCAGGGTTGTTGAACTTAAGTCTGTTTAAGGGACTAGGTACCTAAAAGAAGCCCGAGTGAATCTGAAGTACTGTGCTAATTGGTATTCATAATTATTTCAAAAGGAAAACAAAACAAGAGTGGGCACTTGCCATATGTACAGCTTATCTATGAATTTGGCACA